AGGACTTCACAAAGGTTAGTATTGTGGAGGTTATTTATGCACCTTTATGTTGTTGATTATAGTTAATTTGTGGTGTTTTGTGTGCCTAAATTTTGTTGGTTTAATTTCTTTTGTGGCATTGCTATGCAAATTTTATTATTGTCGAGGGGATTTGTTGTTTTTCGTGTGATTTATTATTAGGAGAAATGTATTTAAGGGCCTAATAGATCTTGTAGCATCTTTATTGTGGCATTAGCATGAAACTTGTGCATAAAAGTGTAGTCGAGTCATTTTTGTTGCCCCAGAAGTGTTTGTGTAACAACGCGTAAATGTGATTGATTAATGTTGTACACAAGTGAAAATGTTAAGAATGTGACAACTATAACGGGGGTGTCATGTAACTTTTAAGCTCCACTATCATACATGCGAGGATTATTGCATAAACTAATAAATTCACATACATTTTTTGTATGATTGATCTACCGAAACTCCTTATAGACATTTTATCCATAACAGGAATCCTATTAGAAATAATATAGCGAGGGTGATGTACGTATGATAGTATAAATGCAATAAGTATATGTGTCACATACTATAAGCTTTAACTGATAGGGGATTCTGTTTATAAATTAACTAAGGGAAAGGGTGGCAAACCTGGAGGCGTAATGCATCCTTAACTGATCAGTAATCTCCTACATCGCATTTAATTTTTTTGTTTGTTTGTTTTAGCGTGTCATGTTTCGCATGTGTACAGGACTATGGAACTTGAAGCTGGTTGTATCATGAATGTTCCTTGAGAATAGGATTAGAAAATAATTTTTCAGAGGAAGTGTAAAACAGAATTAGAAGCATTCAATAGAGTATGCATCTTCTATGTAGCATATGCAACCATTTTAACTAACAGTTTGCTTTGCCTCGAGGTTGATTTCACGGGTTGCTTCTGGGGTTCTTTTTATCCTATAATCTCTTGATTATCGCATAGAGGGTCTATGCAAAAAGACTTCTCTACCCCAAGATGTGTAATTTATTTACACTGTTTGCTTTTTCAAACATCACTTTTTGGGGTAACATTGACTATTTTGTTGTTGTGGTTAGTGTAAGTGCGCATTTTGCAAATTGATATGGTTGGCTTATGATAGTTACAATTTTGGGTGTTCTTTGTTGAGTGCTTTTTTATTACCAGTGGAAACAACTACTTGTTTTAATAATATCTTCTATACTTGATTTCTATGATCGTTTTTAGAGTTTGATTCTAAATTAATAGTTTAAATGCTCGTGCCATGACTTTTGTGTAAAATATCAGGATAGAGAATCTTCATATCCTTTGGCATCTTGATCACTATATTGTGTAGAGAAGTTAGGGTGGTTCGTAAAATTCTGGCACATCATAGTGTTCTAACTAAATCATTGATTGCTTGTAAGTATTCTATTGGCATTGATTGTGACGAAGTTTGAGTAGTCGTTCCTGAATAGATGCATGAGGTTTCCTAATAATGGATTAGTTGACGAGTTTCTTAAGGATCAAAATAATCGTCATTGTGGGAAGGTTTTGAGTTGGTTGGTACTAAGAGCTTAGTCGTGCACGTGAATTATGAGAATACCCCCCCCCCCCATTTTTAAATGGTTGAGCATGTTATGAATGATTTGTGACAACTCTTACAATTCCTATTGTGACTTTTAATTCGTTAGTGGTTAAAATGTTCAATGCTGCTTGTAGTTTGAAAAGGAAGTATTTTTAACCATCTTGATTGATTTGCAGGCCATGTGTGGTGAGTTATTGAATAATTCCCTGTGTTCGCTATTGTTACCTAGAACTTGCCGGGTTGGTCTTGATTGAGTTTTGTTGGAGAAACGATCTTAGGCTTTCTTTGATGTTCTTGAAGTCCACTTGGTTTAAAAATCCCACCTTTGCGCTAAAGATATCCTTAGTTGTCCCCTTTGAGCCTAATCCTTTTTATTGGCAACCATATTACAATCCTTATCCTTTTTGAGAAAGTAACCCTCTTTTGAACCCTTTCGTCCTTGAACAAGTGGTTGTGAAAGCTGAGGCTTTTATGCTAAGTCGTTGGTGTTATGAGAAATTCATTAAAGGGATGCTTATAACTTGAGGGCTTGATAGAAAAAAATTTTTAAAAAAATAAGAAGAGAGAAATTGAGAGTTTGATGGAAAGTCTTAAAGAAATAAAAAGCTTTGAAAAAAAGGAAAGAAAATGAATAAATGAGACTTGAATCCTCCAAAAGTTGAAAATGGTTGTATGTGGGGGTCATCTACAGTGGAAATAAGAAAAGGATAATGAAAAATAGTGTGGAATGCCCATGGGTTTGAAAAGTGAGAGTTAAGAAAGAAAATCTTTGAAAAAGAAAGAAAATGAATAAATGAGTTGAATCTTCCAAAAGTTCAAAATGGTTGTATGTGGGGCATCTAGAGTGGAAATAAGAAAAGCATAATGAAAAATAGTGTGGAATGTGCATGGGTTTGAAAAGTGAAGAAAAGTGGTGAAAGTTGGAAATGATGAGTTGTTGTGTAGTGTTAAAGGAGGGTGTAGCCACTTATACCTAAATGATATCCTAACCTTTCCTAAGCCTATATTACAAGCTTAACAAATTCCTTTGATATTTCTAACCAAATGGAGTTGAGTCAATAATGATTGAAAATATGGGCAAGCCTATGGTGTGACATGTGTGTACATGAGATGTTTCTTTTTGAGTGTGAGTGTTGCGTTTTTGTTGTCCCATGTCTTGTTTAGATGTGTGTGCGGTTTTGGGGCACTTCTTTCATGTGAGGGAATGTAAGTTGAAAAAGTAGTGATTTTGAAAATTCCTAATTGAGTCAAGTGAGCATGTGAAAGTGTTAGTGAGTTGAGTCATCTTTTGAATTTGAGTTGTTGTCACTTAAATGATTCTTGCTTTTTAAAAATGTAATGAGATTGCGAGGATTTCTTATGTGAAAAAAGTTTGCATGAGGACTATTTGTGCTTAATTGGGAAAGGGAAGTTGATTTGTGGTGTGTCTTGAAATATGAGCCTCCGAACATTACTAAGAGTTGGGTATTTTTATTAACGAGCGCCGCGTACTCTGTTAACTTGTTTTGAGGGTGATTTGATCTGTTAATTTGTTTTGAGGGTGATTTGAGCGTCATCGGTTATTTAAGATTTTTGTAAAAAGTTCTAAACATGTGTGTATATTACTTCCTAGTGATGCAAATATCCCGCTTCTTTTCATTGTTGTGGAGACTCAAACAGTTTGATCAAATTGCACTGGCAATTCGTTTTCCTAATCTGATACAGCCCCATCAGAGAATATGTATGCATGATTAAGAGATCGTTCTTTCTCATCTAATACTGAATGAGATGAAGGTTTGGGTGGACTATCAAACATGTATACACTTAGCTTTTTCATGTGGCAGAATTTTTATCATCTTGATTTGCGTGTACCATTATTAGGTGCAAGTTTTTATTAAATGAAATGGCAACCTGTTTGGAAGATGAAGATGAATGAGTTTCGAATCTTGTCCAAACTTTCTTTTATGGGTTGTGAAAGAAAAGGTAAGCATATTTTTCCGAACTTTTCTTTCATCAGTTCCCTAATAAAGAAGTTCATCTATCTAATCTCTTTCTAGTCTTTCTTTTGGTGTGCACGTCACATAAACAGTTGTTTTCCTTTACACTAATGTTTGGTGGGAACTTTTGCATGTTCCCACTTTTTATTAAGTTCCAACTTCTTTCATTTTTTTCCTGACCTTCAATTAGGAGGAACAAAGGTATTTTAGACTGGCTCCTAAGATTGTCATAGATTCAAGTGATACTTTTTGATTATTGCAACTCTGTTTTACTACACATGATCCTTTTTCTAAGAAAGCGTTCTTCTGCAGTGTTTTCTCGAACAATGTATGCATTGAAACAGACACATGGGAAATTTGGTCTTTGCGTAAAGATAGTACGTTGAGCAATTGGTCTTGACCTGATCATTTGACGTTCTTCTGATTCTACATTTTTGAGTCTATTGCTATTTGTATTATATTCCCTGTCTTGTTTCTGTTCTCTGTTATAGGAGGTGATTGCGAGGGTGGTGGATTATTTCTTTGGAATAACAGAATATTTTTGTACTGTTTGTTTGCTTCTTCCAGTGATCTTTTCGTGTCGTTCTTCTTTCCATTTTACTTGTTCTCATCCAGACCTCAATGGATTTAAATTACTTGTACCATAATTTAAAAATTTATCCTTTTCTCTCATTTTAACTTTATTCTAATGTTATAATCACACATTAGTTTGATAATTTTGGATGTCTTATAATTTTAACTTTTTCTAATGTTATAATCACATATTAGTTTGATGATTAAAGATGTCAATGAAGTGATATTTCTCTCTTCGCATTTGAGTGATATATTATCTGTAACTGAAGCTGTACTATCTAAGGTGCAGTGTGAGCTGCAATATGAGGTATGTACTGCACCTAAGCAAGGTGCATGACATTTATTCATATGGAAACTCTGCCAAGTCTAAATTCTCAACAGTTGCATTATTACTTATTGGTAGCATTAAGTCAATCGTTGCTTACACTGACTGTTAATCATATAATTGTCATGCTGTACTTCCAGAAAAAGATGCTTTCCTCAATGTGACAACTTAGATTATATCTGAACTAAGAAAAATAATGGAGATGTTCCAGGAGAAATAGCTTGATTGAGAAGCAGAACAGAAAAATGCAGAAACACCAAAGGATTAGTGGAAAAGATAAATGAATGTGATTAATCAAAGGGTAATTCCAAAAAAAAAAAGAGAAACAAAGTTGTATATTCTCCATAGAGCAATAAATAAATTTTTTAGTTTTTAAGAAAATATTGCTTTGTTAATTTATTTTGATAAAGTGAAGTTACTACTCGTGAAGGTCTTGAACTTTTCTCAGGTAATTCAAACAAGTGTTTTTTTTGGAAATTTGAACTAAGGCTTAGGGTTTCCTGTATTCTTCCACCTTGGAGCTCTCCCTTGAATCTTATTGTTTAAATGTTGATTAATTTGCAGGTGTGCAAGATCGATGCTGAGTTTTCTGATTGGTTCTTTAGCACTCTTTAAGCATGTTCTAAGGCTACCAAGTACGTCAACATTATAGTAAGTGTTGGCTAGTTTCATCTTATGCTCAACTAAGATAATTGTTTTCTATCAAACTGCTTCCTAATGACATTTGCCTTCTCAATCTTTTCTGTGTTGATTTGTAGTTTGTAGCTTCTTTTTTTTTGTTTTTTTGATAATAAGATTTGGATTAACGATGCCCGATGATGGATAGAGAGTGACGTCCTTCTGAAGGTTAAATCATCAATTTCTTGTGAATATTTGATTGGCGTTGATTGTGTCTAAGTTTTGAGTAGCCATCCCTGAATAGATTCATGAGGTTGCATGTTAATGGATTGGTTGACGACTTTCTCTAGAGCAAAATCAACGTCATTTTGGGAATGTTTTGACTTGGTTGGTACTAAGAGCATAGTGATGCATGTCAATCATGAGCATACCTCTCCGTTTTTGAAAGGTTGAGCATGTTATGAATGATTTGTGAAAACTCTTACAACTCTTTTTGTGACTTTTTGACTCGTTAGCAGTTAAAATGTTCAATGTTACTTGTATTTTGAAAAGGAAGTAAAATTTTGAACCATTTTGATTGATTTGCAACCCATGTGTGGTGAGTTATTGAATAATTAATGCCTTGTGTTCGCTTTTGTCACCTAGAACTTGCCCAACTTGTCTTGAAATGTTGGTCTTGATTGAGTTTAGTTGGAGAAGTGATCTTAGGATTTCTTTGTTGTTCTTGAAGTCCACTTGGCCTAAAAATTCATTGAACTGATCACATCTCCTTGATTGAATAAAAAAGAAGATAAAAATAGAAAAGATTGGAGGTTGGATAAGAAGTTTTAAAGAAAGAAAATGCTTTGAAAAAGAAAGAAAGAAAATGAACAAATGAGACTTGAATCCTCCAAAATTTGAAAATGGTTGTATATGGGGCATCTAGAGTAGAAATAAGAAAAGAATAATGAAAAATATGTGTGGAATGTGCATGGGTTCAAAAAGTGAAGAAAAGTGGAGAAAGGTGGAAAAGATGAGTTGTTGTTTAGTGTTCAAGGAGGGTGTAGTCACTTATACCTAAATGATATCCTCACCTTTCCTAAGCCTATATTACTAGCTTAACAAATTTCTTTGAGATATCTAACCAAATGGAGTTGAGTAAACAATGATTAGAAATATGGATAAGCCTATGATGTGATATTTGTGTACATGATATGATTCATTGTGAGTGTGAGTGTTGCATCTTTGTTGTCCCATGTCTTGTTTATATGTGTGCGGTTTTGGTACAATTCTTTCTTGTGTTGTCAAAGAAAGGTAGTATATTTGCCCAACTTTTCTTTCATTAGTTGCTAATAAAGAAGTTCATCAATCTAATCTCTTTCTAGTCTTTCTACTATTGAGCTTCTTTCATATGTTATTGTGTTTCGGTGTGCACATCACATAATACTGTTGTTTTCCATTACACTTGATGTTTAGTGGGAACTTTTTTTCATGCACCCGTTCTTTGTTAAGTTCAAACTTCTTTCATATTTTCTTGGCCTTCAATTAGGAATGTTCCTCACATTCATATTATGCCTTCTTTTCAGGAATGTTCCTCACTATCATATACATATAAAACGGGAAAACAAAGACCGGTGGCATGGTGCTGAAATCCAGATTTTCTTTATTTTTTTTGACTTTCAATTAGGATGAACAAAGGTATTTTAGACTGCCTCCTCTTGTTTAGATACTAGAATACATTTTCCTAAGATTGTCATAGACCAAGTGGAAACTTTTGATTATTGTAACTCTGTATGTAACACATGATCCTTTTTCTAAAGAAGTGTTCTTCTGCAGTTTTGTCTTGAACAAAGTATGAAACAGACACATGGGAAATTGTCTTGTTTCTGTTCTCTGTTGCGATGGTGGTGGATTATATCTTTGGAATAAAAGAATATTTTTGTACTGTTAGAATACTTCACCCAGTGATTTTTGCCTGTAATTCTTCTTTCCATTTTACTTGTTCTAATCTAGACTTCAATGGATGTCAGCATGTACAATAATTTAAGAATCTATCCTTCTCTCTCAAATTCTACAAGCATTGATTTGGTCCAAGATAAGTACATGACTTCCCATTGAGATACATCTTCCATGAACAGTAAAAATTATACCTCATTTTGTAGGATGAATATTGATATTTACAAGTATGAGATGACTTAGAAATAGAAAACTAAATTTAAGAATGCATGGTAAGACAGGATTATATTGTTTTTGTTTTCCAAGGTATATTACTGTATTGCGCCTTCTTTTCAGGAATGTTCCTCACATTCATATACATGAAAAATAGGAAAATGAAGACTGGTGGCATGGTGTTGAAATCCCGATTGTCATCGAAAGGAGCTGGACACTGTACCGAGTATGTAGTTCTTGAATAATTGTGACAGAAGTTCTCTAGCTCAAGTGATTTAGGGGAACAGTTTTTATGTTGGATTTTGAGGGCAAGAATTTATAGAGAAAAAGAATTGCAAAGCTCTAAAAGACATAAGAAATACCTATTAGATAGATATATCCTTCTTTGTGGGTGGCGGTGGATTTGCCAAATTTCTCAAAACTCTTGCTGTGGTGGTGATATCGCTCGTCTCAGCTCGTCGCTGTCCCAGAACGTTGCCTTTCAAAAGGTAATATTTGTTTCTATTTGTGTCTTTGTTTTTCTTATTTGCTGGCCATTTGATTCTACTAGATGAGGCGTCTAAATGTTAGAATGTTGAATTTATTTCGACTTACTGTTGATTGCAAAGCATTGATATAAGATCCTTTGTCGGTTCATGTGTCTATTTTTTTGGGTTGATTTGCTCGAAGTCTTAATGTTTTCCACAAGGCGTTAGTTGGTTTTCTTCCTTTTCTTCTTGTTTCACTGTTGTTTCTTTTGGTTGACTACGAAGTTATGAGTCAGTCATGTAGTTCAGTATAACCTTCTACAGGTGATTTCGTTTTCTTTATTCGATATATGAAGGTTGTCTTCATTCTCTTGTTACTTCAAATAGGTTAAATCGCATGAGTTGAATGCTTTACTGCCTCACCCTCTTTTCTTAAGGTTAGATGTTGGAATCTATATTAGTTATTAGATTTCTAAATTTTACAAAGTTTTTCGTGTATGTTTTGCCTTTAATCATGCTAAAAGTTGAAGATTGCTCGTCTATATCCGAGTTGGTCTCGAATGCCCCTTCCTTTTTTCCCCTTTCTTCGCAGTGGCTCGGTGTATATTGTCCCATTATCAGGCATGCCTTGTTTTGATTAATACAGAGAGATGAAACTCTATAGCCTTCCCGATCTTGGCTTATCTTAGTTTGAATTTTCCTTGGCGGGATTGCCTACTTCCTCTAATTTCCTCTGTTGAGCTTATAATTTTGATGATAAGCTATGTTCAATTGATAAAATATAATGAAATTTGGACCTTTCCAGTTAGTTATTTTTCTCCCTGCCATTGATCCTAACTTGTGATGTCAATTGTGTTTCTTTCTTTTGTATGATCTCAAGTTGTATAATGTATGCTTCACATGTTGTCACAAGAATGTGTATGCTTCACATGTTGTTTGATTGTCTGGTTTTGTTTTAAGGCGTTAGACGTGGGTTTTGATTGAGGATAGTTACATGGTCTTATTCTTGCCCATTATTTGAATCTTAAGGACATTGTGATTATTTAGAAAATGTTTCATCTTCTCCTTTGTTATTCCGCTATAAGTTTCTATGTCATTCTAGTTTAGTTTCTGGAATTAAGAGCTTTGCAAGGTGTATCTTAATATGTAATGTTATACGGATAGTTGGCTCTATTACTTTGTTGGTTCATTTTTGAAGTTGGCTAGTTTTTAATAGTATAGGTATAAATCTTTGAGTTTCATCTTCGATCAAGTTTATTTATTTATTTGTGTCTTGATATCAATTAAGGATTGAATTTTCTTTTCAAGTTGCTAATTCTTTTTTTTTTTGCGAGGTTGCCACCACGATGGTCCTTGCATATCTGTTGGGCCTTGAAGGCCCAATTTTATCTTTTCTCGAGTCAGCCCATATTGTTTTGTCGAAAAGATGGTGATGAACAGGTCCTCGGAGGCTTAATACAGGGCTACAAGTTGATTTCCGAGTATACGGAAGTCCAGAAGTGGAATGTACATGATTTTATACACTGATATACAACTGTTGTATACAGAAACGAAATTGGGCTAAAACCCCAAAAGCAGCAATGAACTTGGCCCAAGAAAGGCCCAAATTTAATTTATCCTTTTACTCTTAAAGATTAAATTGTCATTATTTATTGTTTGTTCTTTTTTCTTTATTTATTATTAAATCTAATTTTGGAATTGTCAATTAACTTAATCGAATTCCCCTAAAGATAAATTATTTTTCGTTGTGTAAGTTAACTTTAAATAAATTTTATCTTTATCACTCTTTATTTCTTATTTAATCAATTATGCTAAGTCATTTGAATTCATTTAATTTTAGATAGCTTGGTTTCAAGGTACGACATTTAAATTCTTTCACATCATACTTTTGCATCTTTTTGAAAAAACTTTTAACGTAATTTTTAATTGAAATGATTTTATATTATTTATCATAGGAAAATCCAAGAGTAATATATCAAAAAAGATTTAATTTAATTTTTCTTAAATGAGTTTGAAGAAATCTCATTAGTAGTACTAAAAAAGAAATCTTAAAATTGTGTCATAATTTCATAAATTTGTTATGATTTCTATTATTAAAATAAAGTTCTAATGTTAATTATTTTTACAAACTTATCTCTTTTTTAGCGTCTTTAATTTATTTTTGAATGTTTTAATCTTTATTTTGACAAAATTTACTAAATTAGTTTAATCGCTTTTGTTTGTTTCCTTTCAATTGGTTTTAAAAATATTACATATTTATATATAAAAATAAATGAAATAAAAATAAAAGAAGTAAGCAAGTAAATTAATCTTTCTTTACTTGTTCATTTCTTTTCAAAGTTGACTAAAAATATTTTGGTCAAGTTGTAGGATAACCGCATGTTAGCGGCACTTCAAATGATCTGAAAATATCTTTGTAAATGAGAACTCCGTTTACCTATTTTTTCCTAAATTTATAAAGACTAAATCTGTTGAAGTCTTTAAAAATTAAGTTTTTTAAAAAATTGACGTCTTTTTTTTTAAGTGATTTTTTGAAATTGTTTTGTAGGATATTTCAAAATAAATGATTTCTCTAAATATAGTAAAATACAACAAAGATTATTATGTTAATTTTCTTGTTTTGAATTTAGAACTTAGGTTATCTATCAAGTCTTCTTATGACATTATATTTAGAATAATAATTTTTCCTGAAATTCATAAGAATTTGTATTTTTACTTTTTATAATTAATTTAAGTTAAATATGCTAAATTGAAAATCAGGTATCAATTAATTTTATAATATTAGTTAATGACATATGTTTATTATTTAAAATATTATTGAAAGCCAATTTATATCTTAAAATTCCATTTTAATATCATTTATAAAAGACACTTATTTGTCTAATATAATTTTTTTATTTTAGATAATTAACTTTTATTTTTAAATTTCACTGAAACCTTATGATTATACTAATGGTTTAACACCCCGTATCCAAAATAGATGATAAAAAATGCAGACTTTCAGAAGTTGCAGGTGCCACCGACGGAGCCAACTACGGACCATCAATCGACTTACGATCCGTCAGTCGACTCCGCTGATGGGCCAGCTGACTCTTAGTTCTAAGTCACAAAGGACGGTCGACTAGTATGGACCGTCAGTCGACTTAGGGTCTGTCGATCGACTCCGTCGATTGAACAACTAACTTGTTGTTCTCAATCGTGAGCGACAGTCAACTAGTACAAATCGTCAATCGACTTACGGTTCGTGAGCCGACTGCATCGATTGATCATCTTACTTCCATTTCTCAATAGTGAACAACGGTCGACCAATGCGGACCGTCAGTCGAGTTACAATTCGAGTTACACAATCTGCAATCGATTCCGTCGATTGATCAACTTACCTTCCAGTTCTTAGTCGCGAACGACGATCGACCAGCGATCGATCAGTACCGACCGTTAGTCGACTTAGGGTTCGTCAGTCGACTTCGTCACTTTGCCAACTGACTTTCAACTCTCAATCACAAACGATGGTTGACCAGTATGGACTATCAGTCAACTTACGGTCCGTCAATTGACTCCGTCTGACTCCAACAACTTTTATGCAGGGCTCTTTTGGTCTTTTCCTTGTTCATTTTCCCCCTAAGCTACGTCATTTAAACCTTATATCATGGTATTTTAGTCAGTTTAAGCCTAGAAACATAACTATAACTTAACTAAGTCAAATCATTAGTCAAAATTTAGAAAATTAGAAGCAAGAAAGGAGAAAAAGGTCAAGAAACCTAGTTCAAGAACGTAGCAAGGTTTCGTGGAATTCATCACTAGGCATGCTGGATTTTACTAGTGGGTTCCTTTCACCCATTGTGTCCCTAGTTTTCAGTCTGATTCTTGATTCCCATATCATGATTAGACTTGGGTTTCTAGAACTTTAACAGGATATCATGAATTAGTTAGTTATATGTTCCAAGTTAGATTACATGTTATTACTCAGATTATTGTATGAATTTCAAAACCCTAACTATGTATTTCTTTAGTTCTTGAATTCCACATGTTAGGTCAGATATTTCAGTTATCTAGTTATACATGCCTATGTTATTAATGCATCATTATCAGATGAATTGTTACATTCTCAGTTTGCATATTTAGTTTTGAGTTATCCAATATTTATAGAAATTCAGTCATAATATGTTAATCTCTTAATTCATTGGGAGTAGTATAATACCGAATTGGACTAGGGTTCAGCTTACCCAAATAGTCCTAGAACTACTAGTCAAGTAGATTGTAAGTCCCCTATGTGGGCATCAGTTTAGTGGTTACGCTAGCATGCCTTTATATCTCTAGCAGGGCGTATTGGGTCCTCTCGATGGGGCGTAAACGTCAGACTCCACATTCAACTCATGTGGTTTTATTATCGGTTATTAGTAGTTCCCACAATTCAGTCAGACTCTATTGCATTGACCATATTTACAGTTCAGTTAGTATTCAGTCTCAGCATGTTATAAATTTGGTCATTGGATCCAGTTAGCTCATAATTCAGTATATCATGTTTAGAATTTCGAAGTGTTACGTTATCTCCCTTAGGTTCATTCGTCACCGAATGACACTAAAATTCCTATAAGGAAGGAATAGACTTAAGACTAGAAACCTAACCAATAACAATACATCCAAACATGAGTCACAATCAAAATCAACATAACCACATGAATTTTTCACAATGCAACTCAAAACATCATTTTTCAACTCATAAGAGTTCCACATTCATTTCATGCTTATTCATTATGCCAAGGCTTTCTTCATCACATGCCAATATCCTCAATACAATTCATGAAGGCATTGTTAGCCCCCAACCCTAGGTGAGGCGGACAATTACCTTATGTACACATGCTTTACAAGTAATCTATGATGAGAAAGTAAACTACTATGCATATTACTGATGAAGCTTCATATACAACACATTTTGACTAGCTGAATCGCTATATGTGACAAGTGAAACTATGAATACAGATGATAACTTTACAATGCCTCTACTGGAATCCATGATGGTACCACTATGAAAATACGCATAGTAAAGACTCGGCAAAGCCCCAAATCAACCTGGAGCTCACCAACATCCGCTGAGTATAATGTGCTTCTATTGGGAAAATCTACTAGTTGAGTACTTGTAACTGCAGCATGAAATGCAGCTTCTCCAATAAGGGATGTTAGTACAAAAGAATGTACTCAATATGTAAGGCATAATACAAACATGTGTAACATGAGATCTCAAGTAAAACCAAATACCAATAGATAAGGATTAGAGACCACCTTTGCCTATACTTGTGGAATCATGTGTGTTGCATTCTTTTCCTTACTTTTTGTACTTTATAATATTTATACAACATATGATACAAATGACCAGCTTATCAGCAGTAGAAGAGGATGACCCATGCTAGACATTTTAACCCCTGAGATGCTGTCCTCATAATCCTACAAATTGGGATCGGCCCATGCTAGGATTTTGCCCCTGAGCTGCCACCCTTCCATACCAATCGGGATCGGCCCATGCAAGGATTTCACCCCTGAGCTGCCACCCTTCCATACCAATCGGGATCCTCCCATGCTAGGTTTTCTCCCATTGGCTGCCACCCATAATCATACGGATTACTTCACTTAGATTCTTTTATCTTTGAGATTGTTGCTTATCAGTTCACAACTCTTTTGGAATTGTTCTTTCGATAAGAATAACTCTTTTGAGATTGTTATTTTTGATGTTCAGAACTTGTTTGTGATTATTGTTTTGGTGGTCATAATCCTTATTTAGATATGGAACTACGAACTAGTAGTAGAAGACATATGAATGTGGACTTATGATAATAACAATATCATGGGAAGCAAATGTGACTTGAACGTAGTACTTAGGAGCTTATATGACTCAGTAAGCATTTTGACATCACAAATACAAGATGTTCATGCATATGGAACCAAGGGGGAAATAGGGCAGATTCAACTTAAGGACAGATACATATTCCAAGTAAGTACATATAAACGTACAATTGAGCAAGTAGTGATCATGTGAGGTAACATTATTGTCTAACACAATGGGAGTAATAACAAGAAAGGGAACATATGAACGTGTGACAAGATGACATAACTATAAACAATTGAAGCAAGTTGGCAAGATATGGGCAGATCGTATATCCATCCTATAAACATATGTACAATGTGTAATCTAGGATCACCTAGACTTATATAGTGGAAATACGTACTAGGGATACTTTGACAATGAAACAAGTTTAAACCTTGCATGTAATATTTAAGTCATTTAACGTCTTCATAACTTCCCCGCACATCCAGTCATATCCCTTATCATAACATACATAAAACAATCTTTGAACATAATAATGTAATAGAAGCAATATGAATCATGGTTTCTATTCACCAACACTTGAAGAGCTAACATTACTTTTAAAGTGCTCAAACAAGCTCATACCTTAATTTAAAGAGGATTTCTTACCATAGTTGTCCCAAAATGCACTAATCACCAGAACATCCTCCCCAAAATTCACCATGTAAATGTAACAAACTCACTAACACATACATAGTGTCCTAATTAACTCAAGCACAAGAGGGAGAAAATTGCAGTAGCTTACCTTGCTGGACATAACTACCACTTGCTAAGACTTGAATTTTTCAAGGTAAAGGTTGTCCTCCTTAACTTGTCTTAAATTATACCTTCCAATAGCTTGAAATACCTATTATTCAAGAAACCTAATGGTATTTAATGGACGTTGTATGAATCTAAGAGAGAGAAGAGAGA